TACAATCAACAACAATCATAACAAGAGTCCCGGCAAGGGATCAATAAAGAACTACACTATCTCGGCAAGGGAATCGACAGTATAAGAAACTACGTCCCGGCAAGGGAGAAACAACTATAACCAAACTTGTTCCAACACCTAACTACCTCAGCTAACACCAATACTCAGTCATAAATAATTTCCACGAGAATAACTATAATCTTTGCTCAATACAAAGACTCATCAACTTAAGTATCCGTAGTATTATCTAAGAACACAATAAATTTCAATTCAAGACTCACGGTCATGCTCGATACCAACGTATAGATACTCGTCACCATGCTTATACATCGTACTCAACAAGAAACAAGTAGCAAATAAGACACAACTCCTAATCCCTCAAGCTAAGGCTAGACCAAACACTTACCTCGATGCCACAAACACAATTCACGCCTCAATTATCGCTTTACCCCTTGATTCCACCACCAATTCGCTCGTATCTAGCCAAAATTACTTAATTACATCAATAAACGCCAAATGAATCAACCACAATGCATAAAAATGAGTTTTTCAAAGTTTTACCCAAAAAGTCAAAAATCGCCCTCGGGCCCACATGGTCACCGGAGGTTCGAACCAAAACCCGATTACCCATTCCACTACAAACCCAAATATATAATTTGTTTTGAAATCGGATCTCAAATCGAGGTCCAAATCCCCAATTTTTTAAAAACGTAGGTTCTACCCAAAACGCCCAATTTTTTCTCATGAAAATCATTGATTTTGAGTTGAAATCATGTGAAAAGATGTTAATGATTGAAGAAAACGAGTTAAAATTGACTTACAATCGATTTGGAAGAAGAGTTGTTCTTGAAAAATCGCCCTAAGGAGTTTGTATTTTGAAAAGATGTGAAAAATGGTTAATTTTCGGCTAAGTATAAAAACTGTAGGTTGCAGGTATGGGAATTACGAACCTCGACCCCTACTATGTTCGCATTTGCGATGGGAGTTTTCGCATTAGCGAGGTGAGAAATGCGAAGAATGCGTCGCAATTGCGACGACTGGCTTAAAGGGAGGGAATCGCATTTGCGATAGAACCCTCGCAATTGCGAGGATAGACTGGCCTGGGCCCCTTTCGCATTTGCGACATGCCTCTCGCATTTGCGATCTCGCATTTGCGAGCCAGGCAATGCCACAACTGAAAATCTACAATTTTCCAAGTTTAGAATACACCTCGTGGCCTATCCAAAACTCACCCGAGTCCTCGGGGCTCCAAACCAAACATGCACACCAACCTAAAAACATCATACGGACTCGCTCGTGTATTCAAATCACTAAGATAACATCAACAACTAGGAATTTAGCATTAAAATCATGAAATTTTCTTAAGAACTTCAAATTTCCAATTTTCTCAAAAATGATCTGATTCACGTTGTTTCAAGCCCGTTTCTTACCAAATTTCACAGACTTATCTTAAATCACATATAAGACCTGTACCGGGCGCCGCAACCAAAACACAGGCCCGATACCATCGAGTTCTAATCACAATTCATTTCCAAATCTCATAAATAATTTCAGAAAATAATTTTCTTTAAAAAAAATTATTTCTCGGGCTTGGGACCTCGGAATTCGATTCTGGGCATAAGCCCAAGTCCCACATTTTCCTACGGAGCCTCCGGTACCGTAATCACGGGTCCGGGTCCGCTTACCCAAAATGTTGACCAAAGTCAACTTAATTCATTTTATAATCAAAATTTACTATTTTTCACAGATTTTCACATATTAGCTTTCCAGCTACGCGCCCGGACTGCGCATGCAAATCGAGGTGGGACAGAAAGAGGTTTTTAAGGCCTCGGAACACATAATTCATTTTACAAACAGGTGATGACCCAAAAGTTACATATTTGAAAAGTTAACAAGTAAAGCTTTATACGTTTGGTTTAGTGTTTCTACCTAATTCACCATGAAGCAAGCAGTAACAGAGAGATAGGTAAGTAGAAATGAAAATATATTAATGTCGTAGTCATATTGCCGTAAGGAATACAATAAAATGCAGGCTACTTACATTTCCAAGCCAAAACTAAGGTTTCACCTACAAGACCAGCTATTTTGAAAGAGCTAAATTTTACAGCAACTCTCCGTTCATTAAGAGGAATTGGATTGCCAGTGGCATGTAGAGATTGTAAGAAAACTTACCTCAACATTATTGCAAATATCAAAGCCGAAACAGTTTCTTTTTTAAATTGACAAGGAATAACCCTTTCTTAAATATATGTCAATTTTTTTCTCTCGGAATCTAGGACAATAAGAATCTTACCATGATGAAAAACTTAATTTTATTACTTTCAAGGATTAAAAACTAGCCTATGATATCTATCTTGATAGAAATCGAGCATCAGTTTTTTACCTCTTACATTTTCACATCAATTGGAAAGGTTTGTACGGTTGATCTAAGCTAGGAAATTTTCTTAGAATAGTATTGTCATTTGGTCTTGAATCATACTTGGGTTCCAATATTGACCCCAATAAATTCATCTATTCATTTTTTATTTTAATTCTTTTGAATTCGATCTTTAAATTTAATAAGCAATATATATACATATGTTTCTATTGTCTCTCTCGCTCTTTTTTTCTTTGAATCGATCCGCGCATCGCGCGGGTACGTATACTAGTATCTACTTAAAGAGACAAGGGTTTTACCTAGATGAGATTAGTACTGGTTGAAAAACAAACTTTTTGAAGTAACACTATGCGGCAGCGATCGTAAAAGATAACACACAGAATTTTCTTAACAAAATACTACCAATGACTGAAAAACATTATATTAATACTCTATTGCACTATAAAGGTGCGAGCAACACATCTCCTTATATATGACTAATCTCTTAATCGATACAAGAGTAAAATATGACGTCAACAATTATTTTGGAACACCAAACAACACAGCTAAAGGCAAGCTCTGATACCACATGTTGAGCTTAAGCACATACACAGAGTCTACGCAACGGAATATTAACAGGAACGTACCTTCAGCCATTGTTGTTCAAGCGTTGCAGGGAATCGCCTTTGAAACCTTTAGCAGAAAACCTAGAGAGCCTTCTAGCCTATGCCTATTGTAGGATGTCAGACTGATGGAGTCACAGGCGTATTTATAGATAGGGTAGGGACTCTTAGGCAAATACTTTAGCCCTAGGGACTTCTCCATAAATTATAATTACCCTAGGGACTCCTAATATATGGTAATTTCTTTCCATCAAAGAAACTATCATATATGCACAACTACAAATATTATCTGATATATTATTTCCTTTGGGAGACAAGGTAAATAATTTATTACCTTATATGTGGGTCACACTAAAAGTTTCTAGAAGAGACGGTAAATTTCTAACAACCATGACATATAACACAAAGCTTTAACAACTTAATTTCCAAATAGAGAATACAACTGTTTGTTAAGCCCAGTAAAGTTTAAACATCTAACAAGAAATTGCCTCTACTTTGATTGCAACACTGCATGGGGTTGCAGAAATGGAGACACATTTTGAAACCTACTAGAGATCTAGCAGCAAATCGCGAGCGCTTCCTACGACTATTTGTTCTCAGTCCGCAAATACAATTTCCGAGGAGCTCATAATCCTCGTTCCAAAACTGTATAGGCCAAAATCTGCCTCAAGGATATTTAGCGTAATATGGCATTAAGGAAAGAGTCGGTCGAGGTCGAGCAGGAAGCAACATGATTCGTGGCCGAGATGTCAACCATGACCAAGGTCGAGCATTGTGTAAAGAACAGTAACGGCGAGTGTTTGAAATAGGATATTAAAAAAAATATTCTAGTGAATATTCTCTTCACTTGTACTATTAGATTTTATTAGAGACATGTCTTGTATAAATAGAAAAGGAGATAATGGGATAGGGGATATGTGATATTCACTTGATAAGAACACTTTTCATAAGAAGATTCTCTCTCTAGCAAAGATACAAACTTTACATTTTCATCAGTATTATTACTCACACTATTCCAAAATAGTTCGAACATTCAGGATTTGTCTGTCACTCATCATTGTCAGGAGGAACAATCATCTAGCTCATTCATTATTGGGTGAATCACTCCCTCTATTTACTTAAATGTCATTTGTTGTTATTTATTGTTAGTTACTCCTCCATTATTGTTCATACCTTTTGGAATATCAAAAGTGTTATCTTCAATCTCTCACTGACTTTGTCTTATATTATCCGTGTTTTCAAGATCTATATCTAGAGATATTATCATTAACTAAGTTCAACCCTTCATTACATAAAATATAATAGTTTAACCGAAAGTCCGGAATATACTCTAGCATAATATATTGGAATTCTAGCATAATATACTGGAGTTCTAGTATAATATATCAGTCCAACATAATATGCTGGAAGTTCATACACAAGTGCTCCAATCTCCAGTATATCATGCTGAAATTTTTCGCCTGTTGGAGTTCCAGCATAATATGTTGGAAGTTCATACACAGATGCACCATTCTCCAGTATATTATGCTGTAACTTTCCGTGATGCGGCAAAATAATGGCTATTTTTCAATGACTTTGCAAACGCTGACTATTTTAAAATTATCAGTCCGAAAGCTGGCTAGTCCGTGCTATTTTACGAGGAAACTGTCTTTGAACATTTTATTTTTTATTATTCATAATCGATAGAGTGGAAGTAAATATTTAATCTAGTCTTTGGAGCAAGATATCGGACCATGTTCCTTGCTTATGCCACCACCTACGACCCTTCCTTGAAGGTGAAGTAATTCACAGCCTGCAGAAATTATTCTAATACCTTCCATGTGGCAAAAACCCTTCCTTGGAGTCGAAGTTATACTGCAGCCTGCAGAATTATTTCAATACCTTCCATATGACTTCCAGCACAGTAAGAATACAATTTACCACATTTTGCTTTGGCCATGAGTTCCTAGCGAAAAAGAGTGGAAACGAAAAACAGAGAAAGGTAACAACTTTCAGATGGTAGCAAGAACAAAGGCCAGCAGTAGTTTCAAAACTTCGGACAATCATATTCCAACTACCTTATAAAAGTTATGTACATTGTAGGCAAGTATTTACATTTGATGCAAGAAAATATCCACACTGTTAACATGATACACATTTACTTATGCTCCCAGTTATGGTCAGTTGATGGCATCTATTAGCATTCAGCCTAAATGCGACCAACATGTTCCTTTAGCTATACAATTTCTCTTGAAATGCTAAATTTCATCCATGCTATCCTAATGGGAACTGGGTGTGATTACAACAGCAGAAAATGCAATGTACATTGTCCTCCTTTCTCTTCGAGATGACTAAATTTCATGTTAGGCTAGAATAAACTCAAAATAGTACATTTTGGTGTGGTTAATGGGCATGTCTACAAAATAGTTGGAGAGTGCCTTTGCTCGTAAACTGAAAAGCTAAACTGGTGAAAACCTATATACTGCTCCCTCCATCATCCAACTGCAGAAATAAACAAAAGTCAGTCAGCTTTGAATACAGTTGATTGGTCACGGGCACTTGTAGCAAATAGCAAAATTAAGGTGACAATCACAAGTTATGGACATGATTCCACGAATAAGTATTTAAGAGAACATTAGCTTTAGGTTTGTCTGCTGTAAGAAACCCACGTCTTTTTTTCATCACTAGATATACAAGCACGGAGTACTGGACTTCAACCTACATAGAGGTATAGGCTCCTTGTACGAAGTGGATTTACATGCAAGAGATGTATCATGTCATGAATGATAGAATAGATAATAAGATCAAAACAAGTATATTCTGCATATGTAAATGCTCTTCCAAAAAAATGAATCAACAGTATGATCAATACAAGTATAATGTGTGTGTCTATATGGTTCTTTATTTTAGCAATAGTATAAGACCATTTGTTATTTGTGAGAGCATATGTAGCTTGTTTAAACTAAAATAATTCAATGCCACTGACACGTAAAAAGAATCTATTAAGCAGTGAATCATAGCAACAGTTATTGCTGGCTTGAATATGCTTTTTACTGAGACAGAGATTGTAACATCCCAGTTCCTTGCATTATTACGAGAGGTGGATTGTATGATGTTAGATTCTAAATTCTCCTACCTAAAGATTAGACTCACCTTAAAACTATCAAACTTTGCAACCAGCCTCATATACTGGTCTCTTGCCTCTGGATGACGTACCATGGACTGAACTCTTGCCAAAGCCTTCTGAACTCCAGCAAACTTCTGTTTTCGACCAATACTTAGATATTCATACTCGTCGTTCTTCTCAAACTCAGGTAGTTCTTTCTGACTAGTTTTTTCTGGCTGAAATCCTCTCAATCCTGGTTTTTTCCTCCTCCAACGCAGAATGGCCTTTTCAACTATACTGACCGACCAAACAAACTTTTTATATTGCTTACGAACTTGATGTCCGCGTACATGAGCCTGAAAATCATAACATGATGTAAAATATTTTTAACTGCACACTGACGGTGGTGAAATTATTAATGATTCAGAAAAATTGATTCCAGAATTCAATTAAAGTTAGTGAAATGAAAGTCAATACCTCATTAAATACAACATTGAAGATCTAAAGGTTGTCTAGACTAAATTCAGAGTGGACGTTAAAAGAACTCTTTAATTCAATCATCAACGATTTACAAGAAGTCCAACACAAGTTAGTGTGAACTTTCAAATATATAAATGCTAGTTTATTTAGAGGGCTGAAGTGATGTTATTCACAGGGTTCGAAAGTGATGATAGCAGTTGCAATCTAACCATCATCATCTGCACATCTTGTTTAAAGCATCCAGCTACACAGACAATCTTAGGCTTTATGCACAATGTATCAGTTTAAGCAAAAGCCAAATTATTTGATAAATAGGGAGAGAAAAACAACTTGCACTCTGTGATATATAACTTCTGACCATTCTCATGCAGCTTTTTGTAAGAACTACATTTACAGACAGTATACTCTTCTACTTCTCATTGAAAAGCTAGTTACTATACAGCACTAACAAGCAGAATAGTGAAGTTGACAGGCTTAATACCCATTTATAAATAAGTTTATAATAGGTCAACTCGAAAATAATATAAGGCTATTTGAAAGCTAGAGAGTGTAAAAGAATGGGACACTCCCAATGGAAATATATAAAAAGAGCCAGTTTAGCTAAGCCATAACTTAAACTTGGCTAAGCAAAAACTTAAACAAAAAGTCATACTTATTAGCTGACACATAAAAAAGGAAAAAAGAAAAGAACAAACATTTCAATTTACCTGTATTTTCACTATCCGATTGCGTATCTTCAAAAATTCTCTCCTCCCCTTCCAGCCACGATATTTCTGCTGGATTTTTATGGCAGCTGGGTGTAAATAGTCCTCAAAGTGATTCACCTTTTGGACCTTGTTCAAGGAGCCCAAAGCAACAAGGTCAACTGAAGCTTCAGAAACATCATTTCTACTCTCCCTAAGCTGCCTCTGATGGAATGAACGGGCTCTGAAAGCAGCTTGAATCAATGCTGCAGCGTGAGCTGATTTCCTCACAGAAGCAAGAGATCCTTTCAAGGAAATATCATCATGTATCGTTCCATTCAAAGGAACAACCTCTTGAGCTGCAGATTCAAAAGCCTTTTCAGCTTCAAGCCCAGCACAAATACTGTCAAGAGCATTATTATTGATAGCCAACGATTGAAGATGAGCAGTAAGCTCTGATTCTGCCAAATATCCAGCAACCCCTTTGTGACCTCCACTAGAAGCCAAATCAGCAGCTGTTTGTCCCCCAGGGAATGCAGCAGTTGGATCATCAACAGCACAAACAGCTACACCTAGCTTGACAAGTGCAATAACCATATCCTCCCTAAAGTAGATCATTAATACAACAGTTAAGATGAATGACTTTTAAGTGTACATCAATCTTCTGTAAGACTTGCAAGTTAAGATAATTTTTCTTTTTTATTATCAATAATTCAACTTTTCAAGTAAATATCAGTATATGCAGGACATAGCTCCCTCACAAGTCACGAAGCCTCTGTGGTAGAATTCTCGGGACTCGGACGAAGTTTTTCCTCTTCACAAATATAGGTTTGAAATTCACACTTATTCGAGATGAATTTCAACCGCAAATGCATGATAAAATGACAGGGAATACTATAGAATCAAAAGATAACTTATAGTATGCACTATTCAATTATTATTATTATTATTATTATTATTATTATTATTATTATTATTATTATTATATTTTTTGATAAATGCATGAATATTCAATTATTTATGGCGCAGGGGAAACATACAACTAAACAACAATTTAGCCTTTAATGGAAGAGGAATATTCTTTCCTCAAACAGGAGGGAGCTGGTTGGGTTGGACCCACCTTACAAACTACGTAGCCTTGATAGGTGTACAATGGAGAAAGAAGAAACTTAGAAGCAGTGAACCCATTAAGTCATACACACTAAAAGGTTCCTATCTTGAGAAAGAATAAGCCAGATACAAATTATTGATGCACTCACCTTCCATAATGTGCAGCCCAGTGGAGAGCTGTCCTACCACGTGCATCTCTCAAATTAGGATTAATACCAGCAGCAGTTAATAGAACCAACCCCCATTCATAACCAAGAGAAGCGACTAAGTGAATAACCCCTTGTCCTTCGTCATCCAAAATATTTGGACCTTTATCTTCTTCGTGTGCTCTAGAGACTAGCCATTCATAAAATTTATCCTTCATGAAACTCTGAATCAACGTATCTCTAAAGTTGATGTGATTGCCTTCAATAATGGCAAGTAAGTCCTCTAAACTTTCAGAAGCATTTCCAATGTTGCATTTCAAAGAACATAGCAGAGTCTTCAATTTACCTCTTTCACAATCTGTGCTAGAGCAATCCAAGAATTTTTTATTCAGGCCTGAATATAGCAATTTAGCTAGTCGCACTTGCAGACGCACTTCATCACTTGGTCTAAGGGCAAGAGCTAGTTCTGATGATTTTTCACGATATTCAAACTCCCGCACCTCACTGCATGCTAACCTATTACTGCAGGTTACATAAAAAGGAACACGTCCAGGAGAATGAGAAGGAACTTCACATCGAATGATACTCTGAGTCAGAAGTTCTGCAGAGACCTCAACTTCACCAAACATACAGCTCCATTTCTGAGAAGTAGGATGCTTCCCATGGCCAAGAAAGGTACCTATGATCAAAACCTGAAGAGAAATATAGCCGTTTATCTGAATTTTAACATCTATAACTAATACAATATGTCTTCTTGGATTTTCAAAGTTACGAATGAGAACGGACCATTCTATGAGATCAGGTAAGTTTACCTTTGTTTCCACTCCTGAGTAGGCCCAATCAGGAGCAAAATCAGAGATACTGAACAGCTGCTCTTGGGATAGAAAAGGGCCTAAAGAGTTGGTGTCCAACTGCATGTGACATGATAAACGGGCAACTTCTTTATCCCCATTATCAAGGGTGTTCCAATAGTTGCCAGAATCAGAGGCCAACAATGACTCGTTGCCGTCTACAGCTATCTCTCTATCCATCCATCTGCCAAAGCTATCAAGTTTCTTTAGGCTGCCAGCTTCATCACTGTTGAGTCTACCTTCTAAGGAACTATTTTGAACTGCAGCATCAGGAGTAACAACAGTCTGAGAACTAGAAATGTTCTGTATCTGAGCTGGAGCTAGATGGATATTCTCCTACGATAAACAAAAATGGTAGTAGCATTAAACGGCATGCTTATAATAACCACATAGCACATCAACACTCTAATACCAAAAGCACGCCACTGAATTAAGAACCCAACTTCAAGCCTTTGAGCAAAAAATAGAAGATAATTTCAGTGTTAATGTGGCCCATAATAGGTTAGTAGCACTTTATTTTAGAAAACCAGACAAGAAAGCTAGAAATGGAGCAGGTGAAATTTCCAGAGTCACGTTTAGAAGTGAGTTTGCATCACCAACATTAAACGAGGCAGACCCTCAAGAACTGGATCCCATTGCAATGTATCTTAATATCAGAAGAATAATTCAAAATCAAGATATGCCAACAGAAGATTGGATACCTTTATGTCAAATACTTTGGTATAATATCTTTTAAAGGAATACTTTCATACAATATCTACTTTATAAATATAAAATCTAGTACCTTTTATGGGTATGGTATCAGAACCAGCCTATGGCAAACGATAAAAAACTGAAATTGTGTTTGGTCATGTTAGTCCTACAGATAAACCAGTGACCAAATACTGAAAATTTCTCGACTACCTTGTCTACATAAAAGAGAAGCTCAGCTGCAACTAAGCACATTTGTATTGAAGATATATACCAAGAATTTACCAATTTACAAAATCTGACTTGCCCTTAATACTGTTAGATAGTTAGTGGATATGTCATATACTTAGTGTCCCACATTGGAAAATAGCTGTTATGTATTGTGTACAATTTGTATATAAACAGGGCTCAGTGTTAGACAATTACGTTACGCTTATTAGTAATATTCTCCAGTGCCTTTACTTCTTACATGGTACCAGAACAGCAGCGAGAAATATCCGGGACAGAAAAGTCAATCGCCATGCGTCTTACCGGTGACTGCTCAGATCTGATTTGCGTCATCCCACTTTGGGTGAATGTTGTTCGTAAACCAACACCACCATCAGATTTGGGAAGCTCCGGCAACCAAACCCCAGTCAGCTTCTCTGGAAGTAGGCATCCCACGCGCTCTCACGTGCCGGCAGAAGCTAGGGTTCTGGCGAAGTGTTCTGGCCAGATTCCGACGAGTTTTTCCTGCTGCTGTGTTCGTGAGGTCATTCCGAGGCCACCCATCTAGGTGCTCCTCATTCCGGCTACCAGAACATCGTCTTTAGGCTACCAGCTTCGGTTTCCAGTGGTTTCTTTACTTTACCGGCGACATCTCTGATCTTTACTTGCTCTCAAGGGTTGGATTGGAATCTCCAGTTTACCAGTTTAGTTATTCAGGGAAGTTTAACAGTAAAATCTGATTTTATTTTCTGAAATATATCATCTGGTCAGATTCTTTTTTTATCATTTTTTTTTTTGTTGCTACATTCTGTTGTCATTTGCTTATATTTGGTTAGAACTCTCTTAAATCCAACCATGTCTCTCGTGGTTGGTATTTTTGGTTCGAAAAATACAGGATGACTATAAGTGTCACTGGTCCCTCACTGTTTCTTGTATTAGTTACATCTGTAACAAACTCGGTACATATGACTTATATGCACCGGCTTGAGAAGGAGAGTTAGATAGCGTATATGTTGTATACGTATTCCCACATTGGAAAATAGGTGTTAGGTCTTGTGTAAAGTTTGTATATAAATAGGACTCCATGTTAGACAATTATGTTATGCATATTAATAATATTTTCCCGCGCCTTCACTTCTTGCAAAATACCTTCAACATCGCGCTGCCACTCTCCTTGAAAGAAAAACAAACAAGAGAGCTACCAATAACTACATGAATATATCTACAGCATAGAATATAGTACCTCAAGTACTTCCCCAGAAGTAATTGTCAATCTGTTTCTGCTGTTTGCCACATCTTTAACAGCTCTACCACCATCTAATCTTGCATAAGTGAGTTTACTGGACAGCAAATCAGCCACATTAAGGTATCCTGAGTAGAACTTTTTCTGTAGTGTAACATTTAAATTTCTGTCTGAGCTCTGAGCGTCAATAGACACGAATGAGCCAAATTGTGGATTGAGCTGAAAGTTGTCCCTCGAGAACTCCACAAGTCCTGACAAGACAAAGCAAGGTCTTTTAGTTTGTATTATGTAAGAACTTTGTGAAGTGCTATAATACTGTACAAGTTTCATCATACAAACATTATGAATTAACGGAAGCATCAAAGAGGAAATTACCTGTTGGTTTCTCTGTGCTGAAAGAAGAGGTAATGGGCAAGAAATGACCACTTGCAGGAACAAGCAAGGGGTTCACTTCATTTCCTTTAGAATCGCCAGTATAAAGCTCAGAAGAGAGTGCCTGTTCTTTCCAGTCAACTGAGCTTGGACTTGATGTATGAGATTCCTGAACTATTAGGCCAGACACAAAGCAAGGCGAGGAACTAGGATTTTCAAGCAGTTGACCTGGATGAATAGGTTGCAGACGGGAGGCACCTACTCTGTAGCTCTGCATGGCACATATCATTAATACTTTAACTTATCATGACAGAGACTAAGATTCACAGACATCTCATAATAAGCCTCTTTGCCACATACCACACAATAACTGCCTGTATTCATTCCCAGAAAACAAAAGAAACAGGTGATTTGATTTGCTGAATAAATTTTCCCCAATTACTATAAACATACAGAAAAGGCATTGGTGTACTCTATGCAATAACTTTGTGATATATCATTAATATTTAACGGTAGATATTTGCTTAGAACAACTAAGTGAACAAAATATTCTGGCAATTATTAGATTAGCTAAGCAATCACCCTACTTCATAAACAAACAAAAGGATCTTTTACAACATATGAGCAAGACGAAAAAGACGCTTGTATAGCATAATGAATCTAATACCTCTCCTGTTATTGACCACTTCTCCTGATCTTCAATAGCACGTTGCGATGTTTTAAAGATTGACTGACTGATTACTATTCACATGAATACACGTAAATTGGGTGCGTGCTTTTTAAAACAACAATACACTGTCTACTAAGAATGAAATCCTCCTTTCTTGTGTTAGATAGTTATGTAAATAATATATAGGCAAAAAGGCCTCGTAGCCACTTGAACTTGTACCGATTTGTCATTCCGGTAAATAAACTTAGGAAAATGTCATTTTAACACCTCAACTCAATAGAATAAGTATTAATAAATCCACATCAGATAAATGACATTTATTTTTATTTTACATATAAAAGAACTCCAAATTCAACCCTTCCTCCCCCCCACACCCCCAACCAAAAAACCCCGCGGGCTTCCGTCAGCCCTTCCACAACTCTCTATGAATTTGACATTGCTGCTACAAAATGGAGCTATTATTTCAACTTCTATAGTTTACGAATTTATGGACAGAATTGAGACTCTCCATTAAATATCCACAGCCTTTTTTCTTTTGCCTAAATAATATCAAGATTTTTCTTTGAACACATTCCAAAATCCCGATTAATTATGAAGTCCAACAAACATAGCAGCTAAAATGTTTTCTCAGACTAAACCCCTCATAATAGGAAACCAAAATAAATTTTGCAAGGTTATCGAATTGATTCCTATAAAATTAGAGACAAGACAATCAATAGAAGAAGAATGAGCAAAGCAGGTACAACTGATTTTTTCTTAATAGTCTCATTAATGATATGACATGTACCATTGCAGGTGTCCATTATTTTGTTCCCAAACCTTCTCTGAAAGACCCCAAATTCAATAATGAAAACAAAATTCATCAACATCAATAACTCAAAACTCCAACCAATCCACATTCCGCCACCATATAAACTTTAGTTTAGCGTTCAATAAGAAAAAAGATAAAAACTTTGCAATCGATGAGGTCTGAAGTAGGAGATTGGGGAAAGGACGTCACGGAAAAATTGTGCTGGGAAATATTGTGAAAGAAAAGGGCGAGGGGAAGGGGGACAGAAAGAGTGGAGGGGAGGGGAATCTGGGAATACTGTGAAAGAAAGGGGGAGTGAGGGAGAAGAAGGAGGGGGTGGGGAGGGGAGATGGGGGGAACCTAGAAAAATAAAGAATTAAATTAAAGCTTTTTTTAAATTATTTTAACTTTTTCCTTTTAGTTAAAAACTTAAAATGTTTGTTTTATTTAGTAAGTATTTTTTTGTAAATCATAACCATCACATAGACGCGCTTTTTGATGGTGATAGGCACGCACTTTTGCCACGTCAGTTATACCACTGCCACATAAGCTTGGTCAATGGTCAATGATGTTTATTAATGCTCATTCTATTGAGTTAAGCTATTAAAATGGGATTTTTCTAAGTTTATTTACCGGGATGACAAACCAGTGGAAGTTCAAGTGGCTACGAGGCCTTTTTGCCTAATAGATAATTAGACCTAGTCCCGCATAGAATAGGAGTAGGATATGTATTGTATAAATAGAGCCCATTGTATTATAATTGAACAGATCAATAATATATTTTTTTCCCGTACTTTTTCACATGGTATCAAAGCAGTCGTGAGAGATTTATCACTAAGCATAAATTCCGCAAGAAAAATCATTATTTCTCAATGTTGTGAAAAAACCAATACCATCACAAAGTAGATTAGCCTCCGGCGACCAACCCACAAAAAAATCTCTAGCAAAACCCACCCACCCCCTACGTGAACTCACGCGTCGTCGGAAGAAAATTATCCGGCGAGGTTCCGACGTCACGAGCCGGCACATGAGGCAGTTTCCGGCCACTTTTTGAAAAAATTTCTTCACGACAACTTGTTCTCCCTTCAATTCCGAGCCTACCCATCAAATTTAAACCAAATTCCAACCAATTTTCTATTTTTCCGATGACTTTCTCCAGATTCCGGCCCTTTTCTCTTCACTGTTCTGGTGAGATTATTGTTGTTCGTACTTGTCTTTGCTATTTGGTATAACCATGTCTCTTGGATTTGATGTATTTGGTTTTAAAAACACGGGTTCTGGAAATTCAAGCTTCATGATTACTTCAGAGCCCTTAATGGAAAGTTCAAACTATTTAGCTTGGACTTCCTCTGTTGAATTGTGGTATAAAGGTCAAGGTGTTCAACATCACTTAACCAAAAAGGCTAGCGAGGGAGATGAAAAGGCCAAAGCACTTTGGGAAAAGATCGATGCTCAATTATGTAGTATCTTGTGGCGGTCTATTAATTCCAAGCTGATGCCCTTGTTTCGTCCATCCAGACATATCATTTAGTTTGGGAAAAGGCTCGCACTTTATAAGTTAATGACATATCTCTCTTTTCTATGATGTGATGTCGCAAATGACAAACTTAAAGAAACATGAATTGGATATGTCTACTTAGGACAAGTACAGGCAGTCATGGAGGAATTTGAGAAGTTACTGCCAGTTTCTGCTAGTATTGAAAAGCAACAAGAACAACGATAGAAGATGTTTCTAGTCCTTACACTCGCAGGACTTCCTAATTATGAGAAAGCACGGAAAAAAATATATTATTGATCTTCTACTAAGTGTTTTACAATATCCCTATTTATAATTATACATATTACATATTCTACTCCTATTCCATGTGGGACTAAGGTTATTTACATAATGTTGATTGGCTTAATTATTAGGAAAGATTTGATTCTGATTGAGATTTGATTTTACTCTGATTCATTGTAATTGATTGTAATTTTTTTTTTTCCTAAAATAGTCATAGGACCTAGTGTATAAATATCTTATCTTAGGGATGTAAGAAATACATAGAAATACAAGAAGTCTTTTCTTCTTCTCAAAAATCTACATGGTATCAAAGCCATTGTTGCATTTTGAGGTGAGCTATCTCCCTCGCAGCACTAGGGTTCCGTTTTTATCAAAGAGGCCAAGTTTTCTCTCTCTTGGTGGTTGTCTGCAACACAAACTCATTCCGGTTCCGTCGAGACAGGTTTGGTTTTCGAGGCAGATTATTTTTTGAGCAATTTTCTTCAGATTTTCTTCGGGTGCGGGAGGGATTTTGAACAATCCGTGCAACTTAGGTTATTGAATATATTCATCTTATATTCCCCTTTCCTCTACCCTAAATATTTAATTCTCATATCAGGGTCTATAAACAAGAATACAATGAATCCATTACATTCGCCAGATAACACATGGATATCACTTCCAAAAGTTACAAAGTAGAGAACACAGACAAATGCATGCAGAGATATATGATGCAGGATTATATAAAACAGAAAATAGATATTAAGTGTAGAATAAGAGAATTAACAAACAGCAACTATCTCGAAAAAGACATATATAAATCACCTAATGATTAAACAGACATACAGAAAGCACCAAATGATTAAACTAATGTGGAAATACCTCTATTACTTCTCTATAATGCACAAGGACAATGTGCTCCAACTTTCTGTAAAAGCAAATCAAGAACAAAAGCTCTGTCAAAATCTATAAAGGACCATATCAATACTAAGAACATTGGATATTGTTTTTAATATCTTCGCCTTCATTCTTTTTCTCTAGAGACTATAGGATTTCAACATAAAGAATAATCATTGTATATAACTATGAAGCACATGAATTGTTGTCAAAAGCCCTTGCACTAAAATATGAGCTAGGGAATATACTTCTTCTGATCTCTTTTACTTGATTTTTGCTTTTGCACAACCTTTAAGAAAATCATGGCGCCTAGAGAGGAAAAAGCAACGCCCCAAACGTCACCTCACGTCGTCGTCCCCGTGTCCAAGAAAACTTGGTTTCCTTGTTGATTTTGGATTAGGACACTCCAACCCTCACAGATAAATACCCCTAAACTCGTTTTGGACGGGGTTGGACATATTTGGAGGCAAGAAGAGCTACGAAACACACTTGGAGCACGAAATCATCGCATCCTTCATCTCTTTCCCTAATTTTGTAGTTTTATGTTTTCAAACACTTTTGTGATTGTTCATACGACTATGAGTGGCTAAAACCCCTCTTATTATGGGGTTACGGGTAGTTCTTGAATCTTGATTGTTGACTTTTAATGGTTGTTGAGTGATTTGGTTATTCAATCTTTGTTCTTAATAATTTTACTGCATAGCTAATAGTAGAACACTATCTATGAGTTTATAGTTAAACTCAAAAGTGGGAACTATAGATTACATATAGGATTTAATAGAGTAAGTTCTTGAATCCGGGCATCGGAGAATAGATTCGTGATTAGGATACACATATACAAATTGTCTTACTTGGTTATTCTTGTGGGAATACATATGCGTTCTAGTTAATTCTCATTCTATAAATGTATAGTATTAGGTTGGTTTGAATAGGCGAGCAAGGCATCGAAAGAACCTCACGAGCAAAATAAACCTTGTTAGTCAACAAATCAGATAGATCAAGTAGTTAATTCAACTAGAAAACTCAACAGGATAGATAGTAATCCCATAACCCTAGAATATCTATGATATCATTGAATTTGCTCCTAAAGTTATTCGTGCGCTTTACCTGTATCCTTGTCTCGTTGCTTGCTTGTTAATTTTCGTAGTAGTTTTAGTTAAGCAAAAATCACAATCATTTCTCGGAAAATCCCTTGAATAGACAATTTGTAGTTAGCTTGAGTTAGCCGATAATTAATCACAAGTCTTCGTGGGAACGAACTAAGTCTTCGTGGGAATGATACTTTCTACACTTTATTACTTGCGGACCATGTACACTTGCGCGTGCGTTTGGACCCAACAAAACTCTATCAGAATCAAAGTCTATGCTCGCTTACCCGAAATCAAATCCTCTTATACTAGGGGAAGGAATGAGGAGCCCACCGGGATGTAAACCTCCACCGACTTCAATATGTGAAGTTATCATGTATTCTTGCCTCCAAAGTATTCTAACAAAATTCAAATTCTATTACGTAAGTCAAAAAATATTTTGGCTCTCAAGGCGACCACCATGACAATTTTCCAACAAAATAATCTTTTTGAACACCAGACTGCCCAAGTCCAAACCACCATTTGGGAAGCCATACAAGATTAAAACTAACAGAAGCCTCCATACCATTCAATACCCCTTCAGAAGAAATCACACCGTGGGCAATCAGTCAACAACAACAACAACCCAATAGATTCCCACAAGTGGGGTCTGGGAAGGGCAGGATGTACGCAGCCTTACCCCTACCCTAGAAGGGCAGAGAGGTTGTTTCCGATAGACCCTCGGCTAAAGAATTGTGCAATCAATCCTATCAGCTTTTAATTTCGAAGTCTCTTGCAAAGGAAAGCCAATATAGAGATATATAGGGAACATGCCTGAATCAAGGTTACCAGGTCCCACAAAAAGCAAAGAGAGACTCCACATATCCAACCTTTGAAAAATCCCTTGAAGAACAATACTATACATTCTCATTCTTTTATCTCTAAAGTATAGCACGGAATCAAATTAATGTTTCGAAGCTTGACAATAAAATGCACAGTAAGGAATATCCAGATAACTGATAAACATCATAACAGACGCAGGTGAACCACCGGAAAATAAAATTATAGTAAAGAAATTGAAACTGATAAGTAATTAACAAACTACATACTCTATTTCTGCAATAACCATTTCCCCTAAAACACGTCTTCAACATCAAAGCAACAACACAGAACAAGCTAACAGAATATCATACAGCAGAGAGACTCACTCTTCAAGCATCCAATAACTTCGCCTCTGAAAGTTCTCGTTGTTCTCTCCATGGGCATAGTAACAGTGAAGAACATCTACGCTGCCTGCCTGCAATCAGAAAAAAAAGTTGATGTTTTGAATGAAGAGAATGATACATGCACAATAGCTTGGTCAAAATCTAGTCAACAGTACATCCGAAGTGCAAAAAAGGTTAGTTCTCAGCGTTTTGCATAAAATTAGGTCGTCTAGTCTTCATTTAAGTCATCTAAATTACTATGTTTGGACTTCAATTGGTCATAAAGGTTTCAGTATTGTTTAGAAGAAATTAGCAACTCAAAGAGCAGCTTGAATAAATATCCATATTTTTTAAGATAATGAGTTTCCATATTACTTGTTCAACTTTACCATGGAAGGTACCTTTAAGGAATTCTGGGTCCCAATACATTAAAAAATTGTTACCTGATGACAGGGATTTTGGACTTCATAAATGAATCAACTACGCCTTAATCCCAAACTAAGTGGGTTGACTACATGAATCTTCCATATCTGTTCCGCACAATTTGACTTGCACCAGTAAATATGTTAAGAGGCCTAAGAAGTCATATCCAATTAAAATAATCAATTCAAGCTGAAACATAATGCTGTTTCACTTGATTTACACTGAGACCAGCATAAGATTGAAACATGTACAGATTCTAATTCACGGGGAAATAATTCTTTCCAAGTGATAAAATCATAAGATGTGGATGACCTCCTTATTATCAATCTCCTGTTTGCACTACAGATTGAAAAGGGTAATCAGAAAAACATAGGCAAAAAAACAATTTATTAGGTGCAAATGTACCCAATAGATACTAAATTCACCAGCACGACACAAGTGTCTTTGGTAATGACAAGACGAAGATAAGAGGGAAAACACCAATGCTAAACATTGATAACATTGGGCAGTGCTATTGACCAAGTGAGCTTAAGGACAATAGATTGAACAGCACACCTTCAACTTTTCATGAGCTTCTTTCACAGTTTTACCGTCCTTCTTCTTTCTCCACTGGTGACCATCTTTACGGAAATACCGTAGTACTTTCCGATCAAATAGAAACAAGGAACCGCCTGAAAACCAAAAGCTACATTAGTTTGACTAAATGCAAAAGAAAATCCATGATCCATCAGTGATCTCCTAATTCCCAAAACACTACTTTCAGTACAGCTTGCAATTTGTTTCGGGACGAGAAGCATGTCAAATTATTGATTTCCTGACATCTATCGCATAGAAATGTTAATGCAGGAATATAGATGGACGTAATAATCATCAACCTGGAGGTCTGACTGGGGGCTCCGGAGTCAAGTAGAACTTGTGATGATTGCGCAAGATTTCACAGATTTCAGCCGGCCGAAGCCAACGGTGCTGGGTTTCCTGCAGTACCTGTTCGAGATCTACTAGATATGCATAATTATATATACATATTAAAAACTATGTAGCTGAAAAGAAATCATAAATGATATGCCACCAGTATGACCAAATACATTTAAGATGACTTAGTCTCAAGAGTTTTTACCAATCCAAACCAAAACTTGCATAATATAACATTACATACCAAGTTAACATCTATTCAGATCTAAACAAGCAGCACATATAAGAAGGAAGGAAAAACACAGCAGCGGAACTTATTCAAAATTTTCAGAACTATTCAGTCAGTATATAATGGAACAAATGCATCAGAGGGATTATAGACTGAGAAAAAGGCAAAAACAAAATACATTGGACAAGTCTTTGCGACAAGGAAATCTGTATTACTCTTTTTTTTCCATTAAAAAAAATAAAATAAAAATAGTGAATGTAATAAGAAGAGAAACTTGGACAAGAAACAACTGAACTAGATCAAATACATTTAAATACTCCAAGAGTCACATATTCAACAAGATTATTTTGCATTTATGAACAAAAAGAGTATGAATCAGCGACGAAGAGAAGAGAAATGAAAAGTGAAAGTGGTGAGAGAAGAGCGCAATTGAACTTGATCAAATAAACATAAACTATTATACCATATAAAAGCGCATTTTTCCACTAAGGTTGTGTGAATAACAATTTAACAGGAGACAGAAGCAAGAAATACCTAAAGGTTGATTGGAAAGGTAACGTCTGGTGTCAGCCATGAATAATACGCAATGGAGCAAACAAGAAAGGTTCAAAACTCATGGGGAAATCTGTGTGAGTGTGTGAAGAGCCAAAGATCGCACAGTTCAGTGAAGATTTGAGATGAAACCCTAAACCTTTAAAGAAATAACCGTTTTCAGTTCAGGTAGTTTTCCCTCCCCTGGGTTTTAGAGAGGGTGTCCGGAAAGTCAAAGCTCTGTTCTGCAGTTTCGCCTTTTCTTATTCTTTTCTTTCAGACGTGGCTTTTTTTTTTTTGTCCTCCAGACGTGGCTTTTGGATTTTGTTCTTTCACACTTCAACACTTTCAGCTTTTTCCTTTTTTTTTTCTTTTTTTTTTCTTGGATTTATATAGTACTCCCTCTATTCACTTTTATTTGTCACTATCCTAAAATAGATTTTCAATTTATTATGACTATACACCAATTAATATGAGTATCATGGTAAATTATGCACTTTATTTATTAATTCTTAAAGATGTGTAAAGCCAATAGTAGATAGTAGAGGTGGCAAAATGGTTAAAAGAAAATAGTTCTCCACCCATATTATCCATCAAAAATTGGGTTGGATAATGAACCATTTAAAAACGGGTCGAATATGGATAAGAACCAGATTATCCACTTAGAAAATGGTTAACCAAATGGATAATTAATATGTTTAACTTTTATATTTGTAAAGCCTCAAATTGGGGTTCCTCAAGTTTGGAAGACTAAGAATTCTCTCATAAGTGATCATATTCAATACGCCATGGATTATATGGATATCCATATTATTCGTCGGATAACCCATTTTTTATCCGTCTCCAATACAGGTCGGGTCCGATAATTTATCCGTTTTTTGAATTACCTGTTTTGACCCGCTTATATCCGACCCGACCCGCTTGTTTGCCACCCCTAGTGGATAAGTAAAAGTAAAACGGATGGAGTACTTTCTTAAGTGGCATTTGGATATTGTTGTTTATAATTTATGGCTTCACAACTGGAGCTAGTACTCCCTCCGTTTAAATTTAGATGATGTAGTTTGACTTGACACAAAGTTTAAGAAAAAAAATAAGATTTTTGAAATATGTAGTCCTAAAAGTTAACGGGCAAAAGCTTTGTAGGGCCATGCCATTTCTGTAGCAACAAAGCTTCTCATTACGGGTAAAGTGGATAAAATAAAAAAAATTAAAGTTAAGTTGTTTCCAAATATAAAAATATGTCATTCTTTTTTGAACGGACTAATAAGAAAAGTCTGTCATTTAAATTGAAACGGATGGAGTAGTTTCTAACTGGACATTTGAATTTTGTTTGGTTTTTATATAATTTTGAAAGAAAGTGGTTTGCTTGAATCAGTTTTCAGAAAATTGTTGTTTGGTTATAATATATTTCAGTACTAGAATCAGTGGCGGACCCAAGTGGTGGCTAGCGGGTTCATAAAAAAATAATATTGTGTATATGTATAAATTAGGATTAAAGTTGTGTAAATTTTGTATAAATATTTATTTGAACCCACTTGACAACTACTATTTACGACTAAAGTTATATACTTCTAAGATTGAACCCGCTTGCACAAAATTTTGGATCTGCCACTGACCAGAATATATAAGAAAATTCCAGGAAATAACAACTACTACAAGACAACTAAAGTTTTTAATATTTAAATTTTTGCTGGCAAAGTTGCTCGATATATATTCTCTTTCTACTATATTAGAAGTGCGAGTATAGTAGGTGAAGCAGACACCTCTTCGTCGACATGTCTGCTTGCTGGTGGGGGCAATTTCGTCCTTACTGCTCTTGTGCTATCCAAATTCCTGTTGTGTCCATGTATTGGCTGATTTGAGTCGTTTAGAGAAAGATTACATAGGTAATTTCGCAAGCCACTTTGACTGCCATCGCCTAAATCTCTGCTTTACCAAGATTTTCCTTCGCATCTCTCTTTTCGCTTTGTTTAGATTCCCTTGGCTTCTCCGCTGACGCATCAATTTCTGCTATATATTGACAAGAGATTGTGATTTTTGCTGAGTTTTTGCAATTCAATATTTGCTCCATCAAGATAATCACAGGGTTAGAAGGTTAGTTTTACTCTTCCGTTTCTTTTCCTTCAATTGTTGGGTTTGGATTGTTTCCTGGAGGATCCGCCTAAATTAATTCAACTTAGCAGTTTACACTCGATTTTTTTATGCAATTTGTATAATCCAGGCCCCTAAAATTTCTCTATTCCAATTTCAGTCAGCAATTTTTGTTGCAATGTTTGGGGTATTTCAAATTTGCATATGCTTGTTAATCCATCTATGTCCTTTAGAGTTAGATTATAATTTCATGTATCCCGGGAGATAAAGACGAGAAGTAGTACTTGGAACAAAAAAAAAAGGTAAAAATTGCTATTCCTTATAGATAGCTATTTTGTGTATGAATTATTTCTAGTAATGTTTGACTGAATGGTTTAGTTACATAAAAATCTTAGTTTTGTCGTGTTGCTTCTTGAATTTATCCTTAAAAGAGAAAAAACGGAAGTTAATTGGTCAGCACAACTGAAATCTGAGTAGTATTCTCACTTTGTTAAAGTATCTATTTTAATATCCTTAGTTATACATGCAATTTTGGACTTTGGTTCGACTACTACTATGTATTTTTGTATATATAGTTTGGACTAACAGGTAAACATTCCTGATTTGGGGATTTTTCTGAAATATTAAAATGTACTGTACAACATAATACAAAGCCTTCAGAATATTTAAAATATTTTTCTGATTATTTAGTCTTCCATTGTGGCAATTTGCAACAGATTGCTCTTTGAATTTTTGGTCTACATGTTTAGAGGAATAAACCTAGATGGTCCCTTATGACATTGTCTCTACACAGACAAACTTACATGTTTGCACATCTGAGTATCACTTCATTTTTCTAATTTTCTTCTGAGAGTTAATTGTTGCACTTCCTCGAAAGACCTGTGTCAGTATTAATTAAAATTATTTTCTTTAGGAATTAATTTAGCTAATCATTATTCTTCAGCAAAATGTTTATCCCTGAATGAATCACATATAGAACTACAGTACCATTGGAAATATATAAAGTCTGTAGAAAATATATTATTAGAACCTAAATTAGAAGAAATAATAACTATCACCAGCCCTACAATATTGATAAATGATCATTGAAGGAACAAAGAAAATGATTTAAAAAGCTCTTTATGTCTAAGGAAAGACATTGTTCTGGATATGTAAATTTATAGTAGTGTTAACCTACATGTTTACATCTTGTCGATGTTTCTATGTTTTTTTTTTGGTTGATAAATTTGGTTGGAAATATAATGGCTTGATTTCACAAGTTCTTCAAAGTGCTGGCTTGGGAAGCAGAAACAATGCTTCTACTAAAATACATGACTTCGACTATATAGATGATTATGCACTTCTTTAGTCTATTGCCATATGCTTATTAATAATGCTAAATAGTTATGCTTTATATTTCATATTATTGTGTTAATATGTCTCTACTTTAGTAGTAATAAATTTATATGCCTACAAATAAAAGAAAGATGGACAACGCCTAAATTGAGCAGATCAGGAACGTTCATATCTTGGTGGAAAAAATAGTGAGAAATGCTAAATGGTACATAATTCATTCTCCATAAGACTCTTAAACATCATAAGATTTGACGCTACAGAGTAACATTCATTAACTTCTAGCACTAGCAAATATTTTTATTTCAACTATCAGGGTTCCTTACTTCGGCAGGGTACAAATATCTAAATTTGATGTATTTAGATACTTTCTATTGGTGCAACACCAAGTGTAGTTCCTGTACAGAAGACTTCATCTGCACTAATGTCATATAAGACTATAAAGCAAGTCAAACAAATTCAAACACAAATTATAACTAATGTATTCGCTATACCCAATACATTATCCCTCCTCTTTTGTTAAAATTTATGGAATTAAGAAAATAATTTAGTTGAGTAGACTCTAAAGTATGTTACAATCAAGAATTTAAAGAGAATTTTCAAAAAAAATATTTCTTTTAATAATTGTGATGTACGAATGTGTTACTTTCTACTTTTTCCATTCTGATAATTTGTATTACACACATGCTAAAGCATTTTTTGTTTTGCATTTTCCAGACCAGCTTGTTTTCTCGGTCGCAAGGCAAAAACACTCTGCTTCCTAAGAGCACGACAACTATTAGGACCTAATATAGCCGATAGAACTGCAGTTTGTATAGATTTTGAATCAAATTATGCAGATTTTGTTCAACTTTGCTTCACAGTTTGTAAACAAAAGTTTTTTTTTATGTTAAATCAAAAATTTATAAGCTCCTTGGGCCCGGGCACCGCCCGGGCTACCGCCAACTAGTTCTATTCTACTTATATAGAAGAGCGCACAAGCTCCTCTCCGTTGACATCCCTGCTTGCCGACGGACGGCAATTTCGTATTTGCAGTGCCCTATTTTAGGTAAAATTCTTGTTGTGTCCCTACACTAACTGATTTGTGTTGTTTAGGAAAGACTACTTAGGTAATTTCGCAATTAACTGTCACCGCTTAATTTTGCTCTGCTTTATCATAATACCATAATTTTGCTCTGCTTCACCATATTGCTTTCTGGAAAATTGGCCCATCTTCTCCTTCTTACTCGGTTAACCCTTGTGATTTTTGCGGTGCTTTTTGCTTCATAAATTGAATCCCAATTTCTGGAATGTAAAGTAATATTTTTGACTGAAAATTGAGGTTTTTGCTGAGATTTTCACAGTTTCACATTTGCTCCACCAAGATAATCATATGGCTGAAAGGGTAGTTTTACTGTTCTATTTCTTCTCCTTCATATGGGTGACTCTGATTATTTTGTTTCAGGGTTCTTCTTAGTTTATTGTTCAAATTTTTGTTGTTTGTGAAACTCAAAGAACAACTTGAAAAGAAACTGGGGTTTCCGCCAATTATCCGATAATTTTCTATCTTTGTTTGTATTCGAAGGTTTTGTCATTTTTAAATTAGGGATTTCAGAATACATGAGCCTCTGACTTTCTTATATTTGAGCCACAATTCTAAGTTTCATCTTGTTCATCCTGTTTCTTTCTCTGCTTCATCATCAGATTTCGTTTTATCTCAAGTTTATCGATTTCGACATCAACAATTATCAAAGGTCTTTGTGTAAGAAATTTGGGTCACTGACTTGAACGGTATTTCTTACTCTTACCACTATGCTTTGTTCATGTGTTACTTCGGGTTTAAAACCAATTGTTTGCTAGATCTCAAATTTTTTCTTTTGGTCAACTTTGTTTTCAGTTGGCCTGCTATGTGTTTGTGAAATTGCCAACTCCAATTACTTACCCATCCCAAGGTAAATATTTTGTAGTTTGATTTAGTCCACTAAGTATGTTTGGGGACGATAATCATGAGTTTTATGGATAACTTAAGAACTCTAAGTGTTAGGTATTACTGGGGTTATTGGGTGTTAATAGTGAATTTGTCAGTGCAGGCGAATTTGCTATGAATGGCTTAATTGAAGGTATTGGTTAGTCATAAATATTTTTATTTGATCATGGCATGAAAAGTAAAAGAACTTGTGAATGAATTATGGAGAAAAACAAATTGACGAATCAGAATCCGACCTCAAAGTAGATAGAAGAATTCTTTCGTCATATGGTTTTGCTGCATATGCCAGACATTAGATCCTTTATGTAGATTATTGGGGGGAAAAAGCCAATGAGGCAATATCCATGTCAAAGAGAAATTGACTGGAACCATTGCAAATTTGAAATAAGAAACTCTTCCCTATATTTTCCAGGTTACATATTTAAATTTATTCAAGATTTGCAGGCAGACCGATAATTTTCTCATAACATATCCATGTTAATACAGATTTAAACTCCATAACTCAAGTATTGACATATAGAATTATTCAATCTCAATTATTTTATGTATCTGCGATTTGCTTTAGCTATGAGGTGCCAGTTTCTCTTAACACTACAACTGGTTACCCACTTAAATATTTTTGATCAGTTTGAACTCAAAACGAATTTGATATTCTTTTGTAGCACGTTCACTGAGGAAAAACTGGAAAAATTGAAATTGATGTTCGATTCACTAGCTGCACAATTTCTCCTTCTGTTTTAAGGTATTTTTTGTCAAATTTTCAGTTTTTTCCCAATGAAATCATGAATTGGATATTTATAAATATAGGTTTATATCAGAATTGAGGGGCCGTTGGGTGATAAAATGTTCTATTTGGTCACCCATAATGTAAGGATCAAAAACTTACATTTGAAGACCTTGTGTCTACTCCATTTTTATGCTGCTTCATTTATCAGTGTTGTTCTCTGTCAACTTATTTGGCAATTAATTGGGTCTTATCAAAAGGAAGCTATGACAAATAATTAGTTATGCTTGTTTTGTAGGATAAAAAATATAGGGAACTAAGTTTTGTAGGAGTGTTACTCAAGATTTTTTGGGCTTTGGCATATTTATCTGATATTTAATTTCTTTTGCTATTTTTGTATTGGACTAATTTTTTAATTCAGTTTTTGTCTTCCTAAAAGACCAAGTTGGTAGTTAAAAACACGTAGACCGAAAACATAAAAAAGAGAACAACTTGATAGTTAAAAACACGTAGACCAAAAAGAGAAAAAAGAGAATAACACATCCACTATATTAGAAGTTCAACTTGTGGCAATCAGATATTATGGGATTGTCCAAAAAAGATGTTGTGATGGGTGAGGTAAAACCAAAATAAAATTTTGGACAGAATCCCATAATATTCTGTATTGAATCAGCTGAAAAATATATCTCTTCAGCTCGGATAATCAAATAATATATTTGGCTAAATTATGAACTTACAAGATAGTCTATCCCATTTAAAAAAAATAATGAAACTAAAACAAACAAACAAAAAAATCAGAACACCTTGGTTCATGCTACGTTCTCTGCTTTGGATCTCTGCTTTACAGATAACCGTGTACTTTTTTATTTTTTTTATTTGGTATTGTGCTTTACGATGAATTTTCACTCTTTAGTGATGATCATTATCTACTGAGAATATGTTGCATCTTTAACTTTATTTTATATTATTGCTGATAAATAAAAAAATCAACCCAAGTAATGTAGAATTAACAATCAAGTTTGTCTCTCTTGAACTTTCAAACCTATTGTAACTGCAATTTATGATTCAATCTGGAAAAGAAGAAAACAGAACGTTAAACTGAAAAATTATGAGTAAGATACTTCAATATTGTTTTCTCCTTCTACTCCAAGAGAGAAGATGAGGCTATTGTTAAAACAGATAATACATTTGACTAAAAAATAGAATTTGTCTTTCTCGTGGTAGTAAAATGAGCAAAATTGTACATAAGCAGTAAGTTAATGAGAATATGAGATGATCAGAATAATAGTTTAGTTTATGTCGTTATATACGTGTTGTATACTCTTTTTGTGGTATCATATTGAGCTGTGAGAAAAAAAGGGAAGCAGTACAATGATTAGATCCGCCTTCTTATTGAAGCTTATAGCCTTAATCATTTTCTTCTTAACTAAGAGAATTACCTGCGCCTGGCTCCCTAGATTCTCCTGATCAAATTTTGGAAATGTTTCTTGTGGCGGAAAGTGAAAACAGTAGCCAATACGGAGAGAAACTGTCCTTATTTGTATTTATGTCTGTTGTCCCAAAGTTATGACAAAGAAATATCTATGTTAGGAATTCAGCCTATAAAATATGTCTTGTGTCTTACTTAGATGTTTAACTTAGAAGTTAGATAAGGTACGACTTAATCAAAATGGAATCTCACTTTTTACAGGAGTAAATTTTACTGATAGAAGGGTAATGCTGGTTCCTAACTTCTAACTTCTGAACACACTTTTCTGACTTATAATCTGCTTATCCCCGAATACATATGTTGCACCTATGATACTGCTATTAGCTGTTGTATCCCAAAGCTTCGCCATATTGATGTGAATTACAATATCTACTTTGCAGGACAAGAGTTTCTTTTGGCAACCGGTTTACGCGAATTCTTTATGTTGGAATACAGGAGAGTGGAGATCTATTGGAATTAGATTTGGTACATTATACCTTTTCCAGATGTTCTCCAGATGAGTGCAAATACGTGTAGCTTTTGAATTTCCATGGTTAAGTCTGTTGGCATTGTAAAGTGAATTATAGAATGTAAATGATGAATTAAATATGTTGGAATTTTTTTCTCTATTGAAAGGTCGCCCCCAATATTATTGTTCAGCCATAGGAATATCTATATCCATCGTGGTATTAGCACAATCTCACGGGAGAAATTCAAAAATAACCAGATTTACAACTGATCGTTCAAAAATAGCCCAGTTTTAAAAGTAATCGAAATTTAGCCACTTTTCATGTAAAGATAAATCTGAGCGAAAATACTGTTCAAAACCCGGAAAATACGCCAGTATATTATACTGGAGTTCCAGCATAAGTATGTTGGAACTCTAGCATAATATGATGGAGTTCCAGCATAAATACACTAGAACTCCAACATAATATACTTGAGTTCCAGCAAGTATAATTGTCAAGTATAATATACTGGAGTTTGAAGTACCGGTGCTCCAGTCTCCAGTATATTATACTGGAGTCAGCAAAGTATACCGGTCCAGCATAATATGCTGGAGTTCATACACAGGTGCACCGAACTCCAATATATTATGCTGGACCGGTCTCTGTTGCAGCAAAATAGTGGCTATTTTTCATTGATTTTGTAAACGCTGGCTATTTTTGAATGACCAGTCCGAAAACTGGCTATACCGTGCTATTTTTACCAATCTTACTGCTTGAGCGGGTAAAAACACGCTATAACCTAAAGTGTTGGGCCTGGGCTTGCACGGGCCAATTCCATCTAGTCTATATCATATCATCATACTATATTATAAGCATGAAGGCTTTTAGGTAAAGTTATTTACCATAATAACCTTCAAAAATTGAATGACCAAATTATCCTCTACCTAAAATTAAAATTACCTCCTATAAAATGATGTTTTATACATAATGCCCTTTTAAAAAATTCACAACATTAATCATATATCATATATTTATATTTATATTTATGTTTATATTTATATTTATATTTATTTATTTATTTATTTATTATTATTATACTAAAAGTGAGAAGCCCTAACTTGCAAATCATATAATACTAAAACAGACATCAAAAGTTGAAGGACCTTTTTTGCCCTTGAGTCATAGAATATTCTTTTTATTATCAAAGTACAAAAATGTAAATAAACATTGTAAGTGTTAATGTGGATGAATATTCAATTTTAGTTACAATCCCCATTTATACTATACAAAATGAATCTGCCAAAAGTCAATAGACTCAAGCAAAGTGCGTGTACCATCATTAGCATTGGAGTTGTGTGCTCTAGCTTCTAAATTAATTGCAAACTTGAAATTAATACATAAGTTCTTGGGACATGAAGCGCTTCAGCTTCTAATGTACCACGCATGTGTAGTTTGTAACTGGTAGGAAGTAATTAAACCAATTATTTTACGGACCTTTCTCTATTCTAATTGTTGAGATTTCTACATCATTTTTAAAAATAGTTCTCCACTTATAAGTACATATACTTCACAAGAGTTTTCTATGGACTTTGTCATATTACAGTAGTGTTTTTCTATCGGCTGGGGATAGCAACTGAATTTATCATCTTCATTATCGGGGGTGGGGCCGATGGAAAATTCGAGGACCTTCATCACTGCTACACTCCAGCATGTTGGTACAACATATTTCCTAGAGTTAGCTATCCTATATATCATTTTGCATCTCATATTTGTTTCGATGCTATTTCACTTTGCTTCTTCTGTTATCTGATAGTCCTCATATAGTTAATTAGTAATCCTCATATTTGTACCATAACGCGTACATGTATATGAAGGTTTTATCAAAATCTACATTATAGTATTCATCCTACATGCATTTTCGCGTAACAAGCACCTAGAAGCTTAATTTGTTGCTCTTTGCAGATTTTGATCATTACCACATAGGTTATTTGTAAACTTCTTTCTACATAGAGTTTTTAAACTTCTTGAAATATTTTTTTAATTAAACTAACTTCTTAACTATCATATTGTTAAGCGAGAAGATCAGAGACGCTAACTTAGATAAGAAAAAATCTACTTTTGAAAGCACTTTTTCAAAAAGTGAAAACAAATTTAAAGTGTCTTATAAACAAACAATTACAGTGTTCCACTATTATCTTAGACCTCTAATTAAAATCAGTACAAAGTTAAAATTTGGTAGAGTTATCACTTTTGAATTGTCGATAAAAGATTTGGAGGGAGTCATGGATTAGATGAAAAGACAGTGTTAGAATTATATATATCACTAACATTATAGTAGTAAAACAAAGTATAAGAACAAAGTTTAAGAACGTTCTTCATCTTTTTAATTACTTTTACTGTTGTCTCTGATCTTCTTTGATTTTCAATAGTCTCTCATAAACTATTATGATCTTCTACGAGTTATTACCTATATATAATTTATTTATTTTAATGTAAACATGAATTATTTTATTTTACTTCTTTGTGAAAAAGTGAGGTTCGAAGTTCGATTGGCCAAGTGAACTATAGTATTGTGCATGTGTGTAGCAATATTGCTTCAACTTCTTTAAACTGTGTAGGCTTGCGATATTCAAGCTTATTTTTCAAGTGTTTTCTAAAACTATGTAAAAGTTATAGAAAGATTAATATTGTTGCGAGCAATATAAATATATGTCTCTACAATGTGCTTCTCTGTACCAAAATACAATATGCATCAACATTTCTCTCTTTATTGAGTTAGTTAAATAGAATCATAATTTTCATAAACTATTTATCACCCAAATACATTTTTTAATAACATTTATATGATTTTAAAAACTTTGTATTTACAGGACTTAAGTTAAAAGTTAAATTACCCATTTACCCTTTGAAAAAATTAATTATCCTAATTTTTTTAAAAAACAAAAAAAGGGAAAGAAACTAACGCCTAACATATAAGGCACGCTTCAAACCATTATGAAGCCAATAAGAATAAAGGAAAAAAAAAGTGTCACGACCCGGATTTTCCATCCTCGGGAGTCGTGATGGCGCCTATGAATGAGAGCTAGGCAAGCCAACCCTTAACTACCTAGTTCATTACCAAATTACTTCTTTTTAACAAATACCAGTGGTAACATGAAAACAACGGAACTTTAATTAATTAAGCGGAAGGTAACGATGAAATATCTAAAAGCAACGCCTTTTACAACTTTTAAAATCCACTAAATAACCTAAAATCTTGTGTCACAGTTTCACAGATTGTCTAAGAATTTCTACATATAAGGTCTGAAGAAAAACAATACATTATTTCTGAACAAAAGGAAATGAAACAGGAAATAGAGGTAGAGGGAGATGCCAGGGCCTGCGGACGCCTGCAGGTCTACCTTGGGTCTTCGGGTGGACTGAAGGAAGCACTCCAACTACTGTCCAAAAGCTGCTCCTGGATCTGCACACAGTGCAGAGTGTAGTATCAGCACAACCGACTCCATGTGATGGTAAGTGTCTAGCCTAACCTCGGCGAAGTAGTGACGAGGCTAGGACCAGACCACCAAATAAACCTGTGCAGTTTATATATATATATATATAGCGGAAAAGAAATATAGAAATAACCAGTCAATATGGGAGGGGGAAACATGCTGTGGGGGAAATAATTGTTCCGAATAGCAAGACATCAAGTAAGGAAAGAAACAACATAACTAGAATATCAACAATGAAGCAGAAGTCAACAATTTGCACGGCATCACCCTTCGTGCTTTTACTCTCAGCCTCACCAAAACAATCATATAATCAAAATGTGCACGACATCACCCTTCGTGCTTTTACTCTCAGCCTCACCAAAACAATCATATAATCAAAATGTGCACGACATCACCCTTCGTGCTTTTACTCTCAGCCTCACCAAAACAATCATATAATCAAAATGTGCACGACATCACCCTTCGTGCTTTTACTCTCTCTCCTCACCATATAATCAATAGATTCGGCACAGAATGGTACGTCGTGCGGCACGACATCACCCTTCGTGCTTTACACTCTTCCTCACCCAAACAACAATCACAAGCAAAGGGGGCAAGGGAATAAACAAAATAGTAACAGAGATCCCGGCAAGGGAACAACAATTAAATAATTAAATCCCGGAGAGGGAACAACAAATAAATCAACAATAGCCCGGCAAGGGAGCTAATCAACAAAACAACAAACATCCCGGCAAGGGAACAATTGATAACTCTTTTTCTTTCTTTCACTTTTACTTCATAACTCACTTTACCACTTGAGCCAGTGCTCCAAAGGGGTCAATCGTCTCATATCCTTTCACAATTTGTAATATAACTTGAGTCAATGCTCCTCGATGTTCAAAGGTCACCATTCCTTTCACAAGCTTTTCACAACATATAGAAATCATCATCAAGGCATGAAAGATACAACAAAATCATGATATTCACAATATAAAGACTCATGGTCATGCTAGACACCAACGTATAGATACTCGTCACCATGCCTATACGTCGTACTCGACAATTATCACATAGCAAATAGGACTCAATTCCTAATCCCTCAAGCTAAGGTTAGATCAAACACTTACCTCGATGTCACGAACACAACTCAAGGTTCCATTATAGCTTTACCCCTTGATTCCACCGCCAATTTTCTCGTATCTAGTCACAATTTACTTAATTACATCAATAAACGCTAAATGAATCGATTTTGAATGCATCAAAATGAGTTTTCCAAAGTTTTACCCAAAAAGTCAAAATCGCCCCCGGGCCCATGTGGTCAAAACCCGAAGTTCGAACAAAAACCTGATTACTCATTCCTCCACGAGCTCAAATATATAATTTGTTTTAAAATCGGACCTCAAATCGAGGTCCAAATCCCCAATTTTTGAAAAACCTAGGTTCTACCCAAAACACCCAATTTCCCCCATGAAAATAATTGATTTGAAGTTGAAATCATGTTAAAAGATGTTAATGATTAAAGAAAACTAGTTAAAAATGACTTATAATTGATTTGGAGAAGAAAGGTTGTTTGAAAAATCGCCTCTTATGTTTTTGGGATTTTTGAAAAGTGCAAAATAACTGAAAATCTCGTCTATACCCCTCTCAGACCCCTTGTGCGGACCGCACAAAATGGACTACGGCCGCACAGGTCTTCATGAGGTACTG